CAGACGACGTTGAACGATAGGCATTCCACATTTTTTGTAAATTAGATTCATGTTTGTTTTTATATTCGTCTCGTTGCTCTTTAGCTGTCTTCATATAGAAAGTGAATAAGTTTACTCTGGCTTGTTCAGCGACTTGTTTATATTGCTGATATAAGTGTTGTCGAGTATCTAGATTTTCTATAGAATCAATTAATGGATCATGAGCTATTAGTGAATATTCAAATGATTGACTTGACGAATTAGAATAAGTAATTTGTTGTTGAAGAAAATTCAGTTCTTGTTCTGCTGTTTCTCGTTCATATTCACTTTGACAAATGTCTATCATTAGCTGTTTCTAAATATAATTTAAATAGAAAAGCAAAAAGATTGTTTTTTTTCGCTATAACTAAATGAATTATGCGACACATACCTGAAAAGGATTTGGATTAAGCTGATAGTATTCTAATTTCAATGCTCGAATATGATAATCATAATAAACAAGTTCAATTTTATGTTCAATTTCCATACGAAAAATCTGTAGGTTTTTTCCAATGTACGTTTGAATTATATTTTGACTTGTTAATGTGAAACCTTTTAAATTATTAGCTTTAATATTTAATTCTGTTTGAAATTGTTTTAAATAAGAATCTAAACCATGTAACTGATCACTGACAAAATTAAAATAAGTTTAATTCTTATTCATATGTTCTACGTTGTTTGCTAATAACATCGTTTTAATTTCCTTTGGCCATATTGATAAAGTTGTTTTGTAGGGTAATTTTGTTTGAGATGGGATAATCAATTGTCCTATACCTGATTTTAAATAAGCAGCCCATAGAAGCTGATAAGTTTGTATAATTATAATTTTATAAATTAAAAGAGCGATTTTTCGTAATCTGTTTATATTGTTGATGGTATTTGGTTGTTCGTCATCTACTGTCATCTCTAGTTCCATTTGTGGCAGGATTTCACCTAACATCTGATTGAATAGTATATTTCGTTTTGTAAGATAACCTGGAACTTTGTCAATTTCTACTTTGATCTCCTTCAACAAACTCCCCTCTTTTGTATCTGTTGTATTGGTAGATAGTTGACTCATTTTTTTAGATAAGACGTGTTCTTCTATTATGGATTCCATAGTGATTGAATAGTGAATTCGTTAGTATATATATATATAATATGTCTAGAAAAAAGAAACAAAGAATGAAGTATAACATATTTACAGATTCAATTTTCTGCAGTGAATTAAGAAGATAAAGGAATGAATTATTTTACAAATGAAAAATATTCATCAGTAGTTTTCAAATTTACAGAAATGCCACGCAATATTAGAAATAATTGAATATCAATTAAGAAAGACGTTATCATCAACGGTATCACAAACCGCATTAGCTGTTGAGTACCATCCTCCATCTTGTATAGGTGAGACTGAGGTAAAAATGATTGTGACATACTTTGATCTGTGAGAATTTGAAGAAAGGTATATTTCATATGATGAATTATGTGAAAAGGTCAGTTTTAATATAATTGCTGGATTATAAAGCTTAATTCTTCCCATTGCTCTTTTTGAATGAGTTCTTCTTTGTTGCGTTCGTTTTGTTCCTCCATTTTTTATTTGCTGCACTATATCTATTTGAATTAATTGTTCCGTTTGGTCTTGGATAGCTTCTAATTCTTCTGGAGGGGTTGTTGACTCTTGATGATTCAATTGTTCTTGTTGAATTTGTTGTTCTCGTATCATGTTTGCGAATGCTTCTATTTGATTGATTTGATCAATTTCATCTTGTAGCAACACTGATAATTCCCTCTCATTGGAGGATTCGTATTCTAGTAATTGTTGTTGTGAATAATCGTCGCTGTAGAAAACGTCTTCCTTATACCACGGATGGAATCTAAATATGGATGGGCTCCTTCGATGGATGAATGGATGATGAGAGTGTGTAGTGACATTGTAAGGATGTGTCTGCTTTTCATGCTGTTGCCCACGGTTAACTTGTTGCTCATACGGTTTTTGTCTTGGAGTACGTGATAAACTGGTATTATGATTTTCTTGAAAATCTTTAGAAACCAAAAGCGTTTGATTGGAAATAGTATCAATTGTTGTGAGTTGCGAGAAGGTTCGATTTTTGGTAGGACTGTTGACAGACAATATTTTATTAACAACAAATTCTTTTTGATTATTTAGGTTCATCGGTTCAGAAGATGGAACACCAATTTGACTATTATTTCGTATTCATTTTAACATAGATCTACAAGAAAAGACAAATTATTGTTATAGATTACATTATTTATTCAAATGATGAATCAATACTTATCATAGACCTACATAGGTTGATTTTTCTTTTGAAATTATGAATAAAATTGTATATATCTAGAAAGTAATACATAAATGAAACGCTTTTATCTTGCTGTTAAAGAATAGTCAAGAATTGAAGAAATATCAATAAAAAATGCCATACAAATTTATTTGCATCCTTGTTCTTTTAGTTGACCAAGAATATATCTCAGTGCAAATCACTTTGAAAGTAATTTTGAATCAAGTCTAGTCAAGAAATTGAATAATTATAAAGATATAAAGGAAATGAGAAATAACCTAAGTTTGATTGAACTGTTGAAGTAAGAATGCGATATGTTCCCATTGTTGCATCTGAATTATTTCCTCATTATCTCGTTTTTCCTTTTGCTCTTCAAGTATTTCATCATCAATCGTTTGAAGAGCATCAATTTGTCTTAATTGTTCAATATCGTCTTCCATTCGTGATATATATTCTAGAACGCAAGGATCTTTTAACTCGATTGATTCATCTTGTTCACGTTGTTCCAGCTGAAAATGCTGTTCTTCTTCTTTTAATATTTGAATATGATTAATTTGTTCTAATTGTTCGAGTTCATCTTGTATTAATGTTAATTGTTCGATATGTTCGAAAACAGGAAGTCCTTCTAATTCATTTATTTGTTCTTGTTCCCATCGTTCATTTGGATCCGTTTTCTCCCATTCATATACTTCTAAGAGTGTTTCATCGAAAATTTCATCTATCAGTTCTTCATATGAATCCAAAGAGTCAAATCTGACATAAGTAAAAGCTTCTTGTCGGCGCCGTTGTGATCGTTGATTACGTTCGAGTTCCCATTGACGTAGACGTGCTTGCCATCGTTGATATCGTTCCTGTCGTCTCTGTCCACTTCGACGCGGATAACGTCGTCTTTGATGTCGTGATTGTAGATGTTGTTGTTGCTGTTGCTGTTGTTGTCGTAGTGCCTCACGTCGTTCTCGCCTTCGTTGACGTTGTCGTCGGCGTCTGTTTCGCCGAATTTCTCGTCGTTGAGTCATATTGTTATGTTCAAAAGCATTCACACTCATTGGTATTTGACTTGGAACCATATTTGTCATATTAAATGATATTGACTGTGATTGATTTGTAGGTATAGGTTCTACAAATAATAGTTGATCGATATTGCATTCGTTTTCATGATTTCCAGATAATGAGTCAATTGGACTATGAGTAGGTTGAGTATTACTTCTACTCATTCTAAAATATATGACCCAGAAATGTAAACATAAAATATTTAGGTAATCATTTAATTTGAAAACTTGAATTATGTTAGATATTCAATTTAGTATATAAATGTTCACAGAACAAATTTTTAGGTCAACTTTATTTTTAGAAGATCTGTTTTGAATTTAGTAGAGTA